GATGGTGTTGACAAAAGTATATATAACTTGGCACAGCTAATTAAAGCACAAAAGCAAATTAAATATTTAGTGATTGAACCAGATGAATTAAAAAAGCAATATTAACACACATTCACTATCAATAATTTTTATGGATCTTATGGCCATGGTGATAATTTAAACAACTTATTATTACCAACTTTTAAAAATTTAAAGACTTTACAGTTAACATCTTATGTTGATGACAAAATAGAAGGTTGGGAAAATATTTTACTACCAAATATTGAATCTGTGAAGGTATATATTAGTATTAATATTAATGAAAAAAATCTGGATGTTAATGATTATAATGGCGAATTTTTGAGAAAGCTATTTCAATCAATTGCACAATCTTGCAAAAATTTAGAATATTTATCCACATACAACCAGGAATTAATGGAAATTCTGAATGATTGTATTAAATTAAAAAGTATTAAATTCAATAATTATTATCTTTGTTGGGGTAAAACATCAACCACATTAAATAAACGTTACCAATTATTCTGGTTGCTAATGTTGCAAATACAGGACAAACACTGTTACTGGAAGTTCATTCACCACATCAAGCCAACTTCTCTCCATAAACATGAACCCACAATAGAACACAGAATTAGCTTCATCATACTACAGTGGGTGTCACAAATACTTTTGACGTATTATCAATAAATTGTCGCCTCTATGGGTTTATTAGTAAATAATCTAAAGATTTTAAATGATCTATTCACGGTAAGCATTCAATACATGTAATATTCTTCAGTATTGTAAAGAGCATATGTTGCATCTATCTTTTATTATTTAGATGTGCTAGATAAATTACAAAATATAGCTATCATAAATAACTTTATAAATAATAGACAAATCTTACTAACGAATGGCCATGATCTGAGACAAGCATAAAGAATGTATGCTTTAATTATCCCGCTCCAAATTTATTCTAGCATCACAAATATTTAAAAGGAACTCAGAAACAAATGAATACAAAAATGGTAATAATATACTTAAGCAATTGTGTTTCTGCTGCGATCACGAAATATTACAAAGCGATAATACAAAACTTCATATCTCAAATTTTTTGTCAGACATTACTCCTACTTTAGATGGCTTCGGAATTCAAAGCTAGATGTAGCACAGAAATAGTAACCAGTATACAAACTTCACTTCCTTGAATAAGAATGAAAAAGATTCTTTAGATGATTAATCGGATGAGCTTGACTTTTCAGAATCGGAATGCAGAAAAAAAACCAAGGATGAGATAAAGAGGAGAAAAATCACGCTGAATTACATGACTCAAAAACCATGAATCAAAATAATAAAACCACAAGCGTTTCATGATGATTCTGCGTTAGTGAAAGTTCCGAGGCAAGAATCTATCACCAAAATACTGACTTGCAGAAATTAAAATAGATAAACATACGAGAGGCCTGCATTGGACGTCAAATAGCTGCTGGTCGGGTTCGGGTTGTAATTTAAAAATTTCTAATAATTGCTTGGCAAAAAAAAGGTTTGTTATAAAATAAAAATATATATATACACACACGCTTTTTCGAATCAATAATTTAAATAAACAACACATTATACACTAACCAAATATCATCAAAACCACTGGCTGGAGAATTATTATGTAAAGAAAGATAAAATTGGTGGAAAAAGTGATGTTTGGTTAAGAATTGTCAACATTTATATAAATATAATTAAAAGGAATACTTATAATTTAATACGACATGTTTGTAGTTCAACAAATAATCAAAGAACAATTACACCTTTTTTAATAAAGAAAGTGATTCCTACAAAAATTAAAGAGGATATACAGTACCTGGACAAAAGTATCGGACCCCCTAAATATATTAATTACGCAAAAACGTACATAATAAGTATACAGAAAATTTATGTCAGTTTATAGCTTAGGTTTCGAAGATTATGTATATAGAATCTTATGTTACCAAATTTTCTAGAACTCGTGCAATTAAAAATAAAAGAAATACGATCATTTTTGGAAAAAAAATCCCGGCGAAGAAATTTTTTGACAATTTTTCTAAAAACTATATAAATAACATGGTTTGAAATTTTTATATATGATAATCTAAGATCTTCTGATTCTCAAGATAAAATTTTTTTTATATTTTTTTGTTTAAAAATTTTTTTGACGAATTTTTGAAAACTTTGATAATTTTAAAAAATTAAAAATTTTGATAAAATGTCAGATTTAACTGAAAATGAACGTGGTCAGATAATCGGCCTTTATAAAAGTGGCACAACAAAAGTAAAAATCAGTAAAATTCTTGGTTTTCCTAAGACTACAGTAATAAGGACGATCCAGAATTTTCAAGAGAGAGATGATGTCAAAACATTACCTAGGAGTGGACGTCCTAAAATTTTAGATAGTGTTCATCAGGAAGAATTGAAAAAAATCATTAAAAAAAATAATCGTAAATCAGCGGAACAAATAAAAGATAAATTCAATGAAATAACTGATTTACAAGTCTCTACTAAAACGATCAGAAGAAATCTACATGATTTAAATATTCATGCTCGTGTTCCAGCAGCTAAACCCTTTATTAATGAACAGCAGAGAGTTAATCGTTTAAAATGGTGCCTTGATAAGAAAGATTGGACTATTAGAAAATGGAAAAATGTCATTTGGAGTGACGAGAGCAGG